ATCGAATATTTCTCCAAATTTAGTCATTAATTTAGCATAGCAGTATCAAATACTTTTAAAGTTGGGTAATATTATAAATAATAACTTATTTAATGAGTATGACATTTGGTATTAATTTGTACAAATTTTTTTTTTACGTAGACACAAAAGGATCTCTAATGCAGAATAGCAACCGTACTATATTAGTATTTACAAGATACTCTAGGATAGTCTTTCTTGGTTCTCTTGTAAACGATAATTATCATTTACTCAACTAGAATATTCATTTACTAGTCGAGAAGGAAACATCCTAATAGCAGAGATAACCGAGACGAGTTCCCTTCGTATCGAAGTATTACTCATACGGAGCAGGGATTTGAACCAGCAATTGTGTTGCTACTATTAGCCTATGGCCAATAACTATTTTAAACTTTTAGCAGTGCTTTAACCAACTGAGCTATCCCAGGTTTTTTTTGACTAATTTTAAAAGATTTTGTCCTTAATATCTACCAAAATTACCTAAATTTACAAAAATGCAAATATTTTGTCATTTTTATAATCATATTTAAATCTTTTAGTACACGGCGTATCATACATATATCGCCAACTAAAATTTCAATCAAAAAATAATGATTGCCAAAAATGTCTGTTGCAAAAAGCTTTCTGTTTTTTTATTTCTGTTGTCACTGTTTATTCATATAAAATTAAATTATCGCATATCAAAATAAATACAGTTAAATACGAGTTTTTGTAATATTTCTTAGTTTTTTAATTTTACTATATTAAATTTTAAAAAATTGTCCCGTAACCTATGTATGTCATTTTAGAATGTTGCGTAGTTATTAAAGGTAATATACTGGTAAATTAGGACAGAAATTACGGCCAAGTTTAACATAACTGTATGTTAAAGTAGAGCATGGCATATAAGGGGCATACATCTATGAAACAAACGCTAAATGCGGATAAACTAATCATAGTTAACACTGTTTTTTATAAACTTCGTAAAATCCATTGATATAAGAAAACGAAAAAATTTTTTTTTTTTTAAATAAGCTCCGACAACCATAGTAACGAAACCCTTGACTAACAAAATTTTAAAATTTAAAAAAATAAAATTTATCTATCATTTAAACCAGGGGTGTGTATTCGTAAAAAAAGACTACAACTCCAAAGCAAAATTTTTGAAAAACTCTTTGAATTCTAAATAAAATATTACGCGATAAGTTAAAAATTTTTTTTTGACAAGTTTATGAAACGTTGTTTGAGGTTTAGTATGAACATAAGGTTAATTGAATGTTTTGTACATGCACGTGCATTACCGAGAGGTTTTACTATTGGAGTCGAAGTCGTGATTTTGTTTAGCGACTCCGACTCCGCTAAAAATGTCACAACTCCGCAACTCCGACTCCACATCCCTGTTTTAAACATGTCCAAACATTAAACTCTCATAAAAGTAACATACCCATATTAAGCACTGGGGAATATTTTTTTCATTAAACGAATAGCAAATTGTTAATCGTTAAACTTTGGTACTGAAGTACCGAACGACTATTATTATATGTTTAACTTCGTTAAACGAATAGTACTACTCGCTAAACAAACATAACTTTTCGTTAAACAAAGTTAAACGAATAATAATGTTAGTTTAACGAATAGTAATAGCATTTTTTAAGTATCAAATAGTAATACATTTTTTTTTAAATTATGTACCTTGATACTTAAAAACTTGTCAACGAAAACTAGTTTAAAACTTCAACGAAAACTAGTTTAGAACTTCAACGAAAACTTTAAAACTTCAGCTAAGAAAATTAGAGGCAAGTTGTTTGACGCAATTTTACATATCTGCTTTGAATATATAAATATTATATTATGTATAATTATGTATAACAAATACTAAAAAGTGAATTTAAAAAACAAATAAACGAAAAATAATAATAACAGTGTGATCAAAAAATAATAGTTAATAATAAAATGTAACGGTGAAAATAAAAAGCGAATAAAAATAATTGTAATAATTATAAGCAAGTGATTGACGTCACTTAAATAAAAATATGATCATGGCAGGAACTCCAAAGTTTTGTTAATAATAAAATGATATTAAAAAAACAACCAAAAACTAATAATCTCTTTATTAAATAATTAATACTATTTATTGTTTTATATTTCGTGATTTTTACGTTGAGGGGCATCCATAAAGTACGTACGCAGTAAAACTGCTGTTTCAGGACGCCCCTTCCCCTTGTAGGCCTCTGATGTTTTCAACAAGTTGCCCCCTCTCACCCATAGTCTACATAGCGGGCGGTTATGCCCCCACTTTCCATATATGAGCTTAATATTTTTAATATTCTTTGTTTTATGTTTAAATGTAAAACCAATTCACCCTCGATTTCTTTCATAATTTAGATTCATCAAAAGATAAAAATAAATACATTTTACGCAATGATAATTTTTTTTTAGCAGCCTATTTTTCAAACCAATCTTTTTAAGTTGATTATCGCGGACAATTTTTACGAAATAAAATAGTTTAAAAAAATAATACTGAGGATTTTATTTATCAGAGTAACTACTTTTCTTTTAAACTAAAGCTTAAAGAACTCATTTTTACATTGGAAGATTTAACAATATACTTCTGACATTTTTTAGTGATCTTCCTTTTTACCATCTATTTTAACATGAATTGATAAAAATTATACATGTATCATTAAATAATGTAATCTATATATATAATGGATATAACGCAACTTGTATTTATAACGGAATACTTCAAGTTTTTTTCTTACTTCGTTACTTATTTTTGATCTTGAAAATAGGCCGGGTGAATAAAAATGAGCAATTGCTTTTACTCAGTAGCTTTACGTAAATAAAAACATAATGAAATTTTATGAAGTTTTTATTCACGTAAAGCTGACTAAAATCATTTTACTGAAATTAATACTATTTAAAAAGCCCAATTTCAGATATTTATTTATATTCTATTATTATTGTAATAAAAAAAATTATTTTTGTTACAATAACGAAGAACAATAATTTGAAATCATAATAAATTTTTTTTTTAGAAAACATTTTTTTAGCTGAGATATAAGGCCTCAGCCATTACTGTCCCGATTTGCCCCATTCTACCCTAAATGTTAACACAGGTTAGACTGTTTGTTAAAAGTTAACACTGGTTAAACTGTAAGTCTATGAAAAACAATAATATTTAATAAATATATTTTATGCAAGAAACTTTACAAAATTATAAATACTCAATAAAATATAACTAAATAATATATAACTTTAAAATATTTCTCTAATAAATAATCTCGTAGTATTTTCCAGTATTTATAGATAACATCTTAAACTTATTGTTTAACATTTTTTAAACCGTCTTTTTCAATGAAAAGTAAATAAATTGAATACGCAACGCAAAAAAAAACTATAATAAAATAAAAAATTAGTTTAACTAAAAACTAAAATAAAAAATAATCTGCTCGGACAAAGTTAAAATAAATTCTGCCGAACTCCAAGTCAAAAAAACAAACAAACATTTCTTTTTGTCGGATCTAACAAAATAAGTATAAATCAACATAGATAGAATCCAGCAGCCAAAATGAAAACAATAAATAAAAATCTGGTCAAACACAAATCAAAGTAAATAAAACAAAATGACGAAATCTTTAGCAATAAATAAAAACTCTAATTTAATAAATGTTATATATAACTTTATAAATATTTACTTTTGGAGTCAAATTTTAAATTTGACTCTAAAAAAAGGTAAAAATTCCAATTACACCAAAAAAAAAAAAAAAAAGGTCGAACTAATTTCAAATAAAAAGTTCATCTGAACATAAAAATCGCAGTTAGAAAAATCTAATAAAAACAATGTTAAAAATATAATATATTTAAACACTTTAAAATAATTGAATAAAAGATTATTGTTCTCTTTCTCCTTTAAACTTCAAGTTTCCTCTCATAGATCTAAAAATAAATTTAAACTTCAAGTTTCCTCTCATAGATCTAAAAATAAATTTAAACTTCAAGTTTCCTCTCATAGATCTAAAAATAAATTTAAACTTCAAGTTTCCTCTCATAGATCTAAAAATAAATTTAAACTTCAAGTTTCCTCTCATAGATCTAAAAATAAATTTAAACTTCAAGTTTCCTCTCATAGATCTAAAAAAAAGTTTCCTCTCATAGATCTAAAAATAAATTTTATTAAGTAAAACAAGTAAAACAATGGCTTTTTTTTTATAACAGTTAGCAAATAATTTTTTCTTAACAATTAGCAATGAAATTTTGGTTTAGCTAAATATAGATAGTGAAACATGATTCATTTTCATTTATACAACGTTCATTTTTCACAGTATACAACGGTAATATAAACCCTCTTTTTTCTTTGAACGACGTTAACAACAATGTATACCTTCTTTGTGAGTTTTAATCAGGCCACTCAGCAACCGAAGTCACAGGAAATATATGCAATCAGTTAAGTAACATGCAACCAGTATATGTATCAATCAGTATATATGCAATCAATTAAGGTACAGTGTTCTAAGATGACAGCTAAGCGTTGGTTTCAAGATTTTTGTAACGAGTACTTAAGATTGCAAGATTGACATATTAAAAAGATTGACATATTAAAAAAAAAAAAAAAAAAAAAAAAAAAAATATATATATATATATATATATTAATATTCACAGTGTAATTAACAATTGTTGCGGGGTTGTTTTTTTAAAATGGCGGTATTTAACTATCGCAATGTTAAATATTGCGATGTTAAATATCGCAGAGTATTTAAATCTGAGGTTTTTATTTTTTCTCCCTAGTAAAAAATCTCAAATTTTTACTGTCAATATAAAATGTTACTTCCCGTTTTATTGTATTGAATGTGGATTATTTAAAAATCGCAAAGTTTTTATAGTTATGTTTGATGATTTCTGGTTGTTATATGTACAAGTTTTAATATTAACATCCATAATGGAGGGTTTTACGAGTTTAAATTATTATATGCTTAAAATATACTTACTCAAATTTTTTCTTATTATCTTCCTTTAAAAACTCGTTTTCTTTCATGACCACCCAATCAGCTATAACTTCTAGATATTAAACAATAAAAATAATATCAAATTTCAAATTAGTTTCAAGACTTTCTTTGACATTATTAAGAGGTCTAAATAAGAAAAAAATATAATTACAAAAAGGGAACCTAAATTTAAGACATACTAATTTCTGAAAAATATTAAACCCATTTGTTGTAACCATGGTTAAAACAGAAATTGCTAACAGTTTAAATATTTTTTGACTTTAAAATAACCTGTCATGATTATATAAACACTAGCATGGTTGCTGGTCATGATTATATAAATATTATTATGGCTGCTGGTCATGTTAGCCAGCATCTCTGGTTCCAGCTAACTAAATCTCAATGAACTTATCATTCTTTTATATCACCTTTTTTAAGTAAATATTTTTTCAGTAAAAATTTCACATTCTTCATTTATATTCTATATTTAATAAATTCTTTTCTAGTTTTTTAGTGAACATTTATGCTACTTAATTCTTTTTACTTTATTGGGTTTTCCACAACTTTCTTGCACAAATTATCTTTTTTAGTAACTTAAGACTTTAAGAATCAGGCAAAAACACAACCTTTTGTTATTGATGTTCCTCAAAAATACAACCTTTTGTTAGTGATCCTCTTTTAAATTGCTAATTTTATTAATATGCTGTTGTTAATCATACTAGAAGCTTAATTCCAAAATTTTTGCAAAAAATATCCATATATTTTGGGTATTTCACTTGATTAACTATTATTGTTTAAATATCATGATTCAAAGTACACAAAAAATGATTTTAATTTTTTATTTTTTATCTTTGTTTCTATTTTAAGCCGTGATTATCCAATACATTTTGTATGGATATGATAAATCTTCATCTAGTTATGTCCCTAAAGATATAAAAAAGCTCTATGAGGAAGTAAAGGCTTAGCTGCAAAATCCAACTCAAAAACAATACTATAATCTTTTAAGGTATCGATTATGACATGATAATGGTTAAAGCCCTGGGTTTACAGTAAAATTTAATTTTCATAAACTTGTTTTGACTTTTAATCTTACTTATAAATAGTACATATAGGATATTGCAACAATTATGAAAAAATAACATACTATTCTATGAGTTCCAAGAAAACTACATGAAATTGGAGAAAGAGAATTAAAATGCTATACAACAACCATTCGATTAAACCATCAATTGAACTGTGAATTGAACTGCTTGTTCCATTCACAAGTACTGAAAGAAACTTATACTACACATAACAAAGTAAAAATCTAACAAAAATTAATAACTTTTAATTTAAATTTAATTGATAATTTATAATAGATATAATTTCGGATATCTGAATTTAGCACTTTAAATGACTGCATAAAAAGATTATCTTTTGGAGAAATTTTTTATCAACGGCCTAATCAAAAAGATAGCATGATTTTTTCTGATGACAACATCTTATGTAAAATAAGCACCCAGACTCTAACTAATTAACATGGTGATTATTTCTTGGCAACAATTTATATTGAAGAAGCCAACAAACTAAAGAACAAATAAGCTAAAAAAAGTTGTTTATATGTAGGAACTAACTTCAAAGCATATTTAGAAAAAAAAAAAAAAAATTTTTTAATTATTTTTTTAAATTTAAGGTTTAAACTATCCAATAAACAATAATCAAGAGAAATACCCATTGGAAAATATATAATATGTTCTATTTTCAAGTTTAGGATTCATTTGGTCAATATTCCTAAAAAAAAAAAAAAAAAAAAAAAAAAACTTTGACATCTAATATCTAGACAGAAGAAAAATTATCTTTTTAAACATTTTGGAATTGAGCTTCTAGTAATAATAGCAACAACATATTAAAATATTAGCAATTGTAATGAGAGGAAATTTTAATATCAGAAAAAAGTTTTTTTTTACTGTTGGATTGATCTTTGTTGAGGAAGTAATAGAATTTTATAAAAGTTTTTATAAGCAAAAAAGATACACAAAATGTACTATACACAAAATAAACATTCATGTATGATAAATTACATTAATACCGTCTTCTTCTGAAGAACTTGTTGTATAACCGCCATTTTGGTAATATCGAATGCGAAGTTTCTAAAACATAATTTAGTTTTGTGGTTTGAAAAGTTAAACTTTTAAAATTTATTAAAAAAAAAAAAAAATTAAATTAAATTTAGAAATATTTAATTTAAATTGGTTTTAAACAAACAAACAAACAAAAAAAGTAAAAATATGAATAAAACAATGCAGCCATGTTTGTGTCTGCCATGTTTATGTCTGAAAGCTTTTTAGATTAATAGTAAGAACGCACGTTCTAGAATTTGGTTGGTTTTTTTTGATTTAATCAAAAAATTAAAAACCCTTGATTTGGTTTAAACTATTTTCCTTTTAATTTACCTTTTCATACATCATTGGAAATATCTGTTGTCTAAATATTAATGCAGATTTGTTACTTAATTCAACTATAAATTTCTTAGGTTTATTATATAAAATACAAGGTAAACCAAACTCCAATCAAACTTCAATTACTTTGAGTAATTTGAAATTTATTATTTTTGGTTAAGTCGTAAGCAATCAATATTCCCACTCTTTTTGTCTTCTTTTTTTCATCAAGATTTAATTTCTACAGTTCATTGTTTGTTTTTAGCAAATTTTCAAATTGCTTCACGCTTGGTTTTTAGCAAATAACCTATTCAAATTGCTTCATGCTTGGTTTTGACATAACTAGTAATTTACAAAAAACACAAAGAATTTCTAAATTTCACTTTCTTTTAATTCAGCACAAATAAATTTAAATTTAAATGTAAATTTGACTTTCAACTAAAAAAAACTTACTTTATTACAGTAACAACAAAAAGTTTATTTTTTTTTGACAATAACTTCATTTAAAATTAAGCTTAAGTTTGATAATTTTTTTTTCATCAGTTTATTTTTTTTTCATATTCAAAATAATTTGAATGGTACGTTTGATATAGTTTGTTTTATTCTATTTTAATCAAATAAATAATTCAGTTCAATTAAATTGAACTGAATTATTTATTTCAGTTATCGCATTTCCTTGATTATAAGAAACACTTTATTAACTTACCCCACACAGTCTTGAGTTGTCAATCTTAGTTATAAACTTTGTTTTATCAATATCATACTGAACTTTAGCCATGGATTGGACTTCATTATATCGATTGCTTATTTGACCAATCAAAATATTAAGAAGAACAACCATAGTGCAGAACATGTTACACATCAAAAAAATCACCACAATAACACTGAAAAGTTAAAATAAATTGCATAAATACCACAATAATACTAGAGTAACACTAAAAAAAAACAAAAAACTTTTTATTAATTAGGATAATAGTTCTCGACTTTTCAGTTGGCCACTGTCCATTATATACATTAAATATCTACTTTGAACTAATAAAGTAAAACATATATCAACATCATTTTTGAACTCATAAAATTAAAAGTATAAAAGTGTATCTAACTTGATGTTACTGTAGTCATCAGAAAAACCTTGAGACTCAGCCAAACCACGTATTTCTTTAAAAAATATACCCCAGTATCCTCTAAACAAATTGAAAAAATTACCAAAACAAATAAATTTAACAAAAATTAAAAAAAAAAAAAAACTAGTAGAGTTTTTAGTACCCAACTTTATGCAATTCAGCTGTTGATTTTAGTGCCATAGTGATAGATCCTGTAAAAGCAAGTATAATTACCAGAAACAAAGCAGCAAACTTTCTAATATCTTCAACAATTATTATGTGAAAGGTACGATAGTAGATGTGAAGTTCCCTACAAAGAAAGTTATCAAAATAAATTTTGATTGCATGCGGTAATAAAACAACCAACCAGTTTTCTGGTGTCAGGATTAAACCATTAGGTTGTTCAAAACTGTTTAAAAATCCTTAAATTATTTTTTCTGATCTTGTTTTAACATTAGAATTAATTTTAGAAAAAAAAAAGATTTATTTTTAAAATTCTTGAAAAAGTTTGAAAATGTAAAAAAGCAATTAAACCTTTAAAAACTAAAAAGACTTCAACTCTTAACATTAAGCAAAAAATTATTATCACATATAAATGCTCATCTCTGATCTTGCCTTTGAAAATTAAAATATCAGATGAAATAAATTTTTATTAACTGTCTCAATAAAAATTAAAAAAAAATTATATTCTGCCACCATGATTATACTTTATATTTTCAGTTATATTCATTAAAACAACCTAGTTATCAAATTAAGAACGTATTCTTTAAAGCAAAAGCAATACTTTAAACTTACTTTAAAGGTGATATGGTGGAGTAGAGCTATAAACAAGTTGCAATTTAACAAGTTATAAGTTAATGTCAAAATTTTGAACTCAAGTATAAACTCAACCTTGATCAAATGGCTGATTCAAGTATCAAGTCAATACCAACAAAAATCAAATCAGGTATCAAGTATCACCTGACTCAGTAATAATCAAAGTAGTGTATTACATTATAGTTTTTAAAATTAAATATGCACAATGCTATTATATGTTAATTAATTTCCAAATACATTAACACACTTTATCTATTCTTGATAAAAAGATGTTATAATCTATTGAATTTGTAAACTAACAAATTTGTCTAATGCATAGATGAGTATTTGACTTTATGAAAATCCCGGAAATTTTTTATATTAAAAATTGATTCTATTAACTGAAAACAAAAACTTTTGTAAACTTTAAAAACGGAATTTAGATTATTTAACTTTCTACAAAAAGGAATTTCTAATATTCGAAAAAGTTAATTAGAATAAATTAAAAAGCAAAAAAAAAAAAAAAATGTTATGAAAATTGATCTTGTGAAAATTTTGACTATAGAAAACATATTTGTTTAAATGCAGTTTTTTCCAGGAATTCACGGAAAAAACTCATCTGTGCTAATGTCTGACAGTTTTAAAGCTGCAGAATCAGGTCTCCATGGGTAGAGACAAGCTTTACTCGAGCACTAGAAGCAGACGTTGAAAAGGCTCTGAAAGCTAGATGAGATAATAAAACAGCAGTCTCCCAATTCATTACCCAGATTATATAGGCATTGTTTCTTTTATAGATGTCAAGGTAGTGGCTTTAGTGCCGGAGTAATACACCAATAACTTCCTTTAGTTTTTACTAAATGCTGAAAAAGACATTCATTTTTTAGGCTGTAGTTCTCTCATTATACATCACTAGCAATAGGTACTATGTATCTTGATTGAAATTCACCCATATTAAAAAAAAGAAGCTAGATCTAAGGTAGCTACTTTGAGGTAGACTGGATCTGAAAGGAAAGCAATCAATTCAAGTTGTGGCGTTATTATTTTCACATTGATGAAGATGTCAAGAAAATGTTTTTTTTATTGAAGCTTGGAAACTTTAGACTAAATTTTTCAAAAAATGGACAATACAGAGGTCACAACAAATATGTTGTATCTCCTCCCCTTGTGTCAAACCCTTGTTGCTTCTCTAAATAGCTATAATATCTTCATCAATTGAATCAACATTATTCACCGTAACAAACAACTTTTTATGCCTAATTTTGTCTAGAACACGACTAAGCTTCAAAGTTTACATTAGAGAACTTCCTAAATTTACACACAAGAAGGTATGCTTCTAAATTTAACCTCAAATACCTATTTGAATTGGTCTTTAATAGTTTGGAAAGCTAAAAAAAAAATAATTATTTTCTATTTAGCAAAACATTGCAAGTACTTTTTTTTTGGAATTAGCAAAAAAATAGTGCACTAATTTTTTTGCATCCACAGCCTAAAATTGTTTACATGTTTTTATGGTTGTGTGGTCCTTCATTGATTGCAAGATTGGCATTTAATCCTATATTCTCTTTATCTTTTGCACAATGACACAAACAAATTTCTTTGTCTTTTGGTCCAAACTAATATTTATTGCGATTGAAATCTAATATATTTTTTTCAATCAAGATATTAGTTGTTAACATCTTTCCACAGTATTACTATTTTTGTTTATTAAAATTCTACAACGCACTGAATTGTAGTTACTACTGCCAGAAAATGACTAAAACTCTAGCTTTTCACAATAGACTAAGGTAAGTTGTAAATTATAACCATATTAATACTGCACTGGTGATAGCTTTCTACTTTGGGTAATATTTTATTAACAGACCAACACAGTTTTTGATAAAATGTGTGATATAAAGCTTTTGCAGTTTATTACTACTTAAAAGTGGTACATTTGTGTGCATGGTATTTTTCATATCTGTTAGATATAAAGGTACTAAATTATTAAATCAAAGTGCATTATAAAGTGCTCCCATGTGTTTTACTGCTACATTTCATCAACTAAATTTTAATAGCTTGCTAACTTATTGTTCTTTATAAAACTTTTAATTCAAATAAAAATAGAAGTTTTTTAGAGTCTATCAGTAAATTCAATTTAAAATAAATGATAGATACTTTTTGGAATAGAAAGACTGCATTCTTTCTACCATAAAATAATTGTTTTTGTTTCATGGTAGTTTTTCTAAACAATTTAATTTTAGCTATAATTAATATCTCAATTAAATAATTGAATACAAACAAATTAACGTAATTATCAAAATTGAATTTTTTAAAAAACTACAATTACTAATTTGCACATTACTTACAATAATTGCCTAATAAAATCTAAATCTAGTGAAAAAGATTTTGTTCTTACTTGATTACTATGAAATACTGAAACAGCCTCAAGCAGTTTATAAAATAAGCAACTGCTGAAATAATCCATTCAATATGAAACAACTTAGCAAAGCGAAACGGAATGATGAGCAATATAGTTCCCAATCCTAATATATCAATGTAGTTGGTATAATCACTGAAGTAAATCAGCCAATGCCTGTAAAAAAAAAAAGAAAGAAAGTGATTGTTTATTTTATTACTAATAGTTATCTTTGTGTTAATCAACATGAAGATAATTGTGTTCAGAAGAGTCAACATAAAGATAATCATGTTGAGAAAAATCAAAACGATTTTTTTATCTTTGTGTTGATATGAATAAACACAGTTATCTTTGTTTTTTCATTTCACTGAATTATATCAACACGAAAATAAAAAGAATTTTCAAGTTCTGAGATAAGTTGTTTTCACATCTTAAATAAACTTTAGAAAATAAGTTTGGAGTAAATTAAAGTTGCTAAAACAAAGTATTCTTCAAGATGTCAACTAAAAACTCAGTGAGTTTTTAGTTGACATCTTGACAAAACTTGTCTTAGCACTTGGGGATCCTTTTAAATATTTATTAAAATACAGGTACTAAAAATATTTTAAATTTTATTTACACTGTACTAGATATATTACTATATCTAAAATATTTTATTATTTCCATTACAAAATAATAACATATAAAAAATAGATTTTATTTTTGAATCATACTACGTATAAGTATGTGATATCACGTACAGGTAGGTAATATCACATACAGGTAGGTGATATCATATACAGGTAGGTGATTGTACAGATAGGTGATTATCACATACAGATACAAAATAGATTTTAAAAATTTGTTTTTTAACGTCCAAAAATTATATAAAAATAGGTTTAAACATGCAAGTTAAGAATTTTCAATTTCAAAATAGGTAACTTCCAGAAATAAGGCAAACTTAAATTTTTTTACACTCTGGTATCTAAAACAAATTTTTTAAAAATATGATCCTTAGAGTCTGGAAATGATATTAACAGTAAAATTTTTAATATAACCCTTTGAATATATAATTATTTGGATTTGCAATAGTTCTAACTTAAATTTTTTGCCTGTTGTAAAAATTATACATATATAGCATATTTTATTTTATTTTAAGGTAGCCAAATTACAAATTAAATGTAATTATGACTTTACAAAATAATTTTAAGGCTGCTAGAAATAATTGTAATTGACCAAAAATTTTCAATAGGTTGTAATTCTGGAACACAAACTAGATAATTAACTTTCAAACATAATGTATGTTTTTTTCATCCAGATTGTTAATAAAAATAATTTTTTGATAATACAACACTGTTTAGTTTCTATAAAGAGATATGATACATGATATGATTACATTATCAATCTTTTGATAATTTAATCATTATAGTACATTGCACTAAAATGATTACATTATTTTAATTAAAAATTAGTTGATGCTTCAAATTAGAATTAGGGAAAAACATAGCAACTACAAAAGTATATAGCCCACTACATACTTATGCAGTAGCTATGAAAAAACAAAACAATCTACTACATTTCTACCAATATAAAATGTAGAACACAATATATTTTAAATATATTTTTATAAAATATTTGGCGCTAGTGTTAATGATGTAAAAACTAAAGTTGCAAAAGTAAAAAAAATTAAGTTAAATACATTACTTAATTTTAGCTTAATTTTGAAGTCAAAAGTTATCTGCATTAGTTTAACTTGTAGGATAGTGTGCACTATTGCAAGGAAAAAATAGTCAGAGTGTTGATTTGTTTGTAAATAATTTTTTTTGATAAAACTACTACATAATCTGTTATATAGCTTTTAAATAGCCCAATATATAGATACTACATAGCTTGCGGGGTACCCACCCACTACGTAACTTTTATGCAAATGCTACAACACATCTTGTTAAATACTTATTACATAACCTGTTACATAGCTACTACATAGCTCACTCATAACTACTACATAGCTACTAAGCATGTAGCCCGCTACATACATATGAAATGTAATAATACAATGTGTTGAATAATTAAAATATATTACACTAATTTTAGTGATGTAAAAGTAAAAGTTGCATTGGCGTTTTTTTTTTAAATTAAAAAAGTTTTTTTTCTCTCACTAAAACAACCACAAATATTTATAATATTTTTGTTGTTGTTGTTGTTGTTGCTAATATCACTTTTACATCAATTATAAGGTTAGTTTTTTATAGGTAACATATTTTTTGATATTTATATATATATATATATATATATATATATATATATATATATATATATATATATATATATATATATATATATATATTACTGATTAGGTCAGGTGTATAGTCTTCATGATCATCCTGCTACTGGTAACATGTAACCCAGTGTAACATGTTCCATGTTCTGCTGCCTTGTGGGATTTGTTTTCAAAGCAAAAGCTGGAAGGAGTATGCTTCTTTTCATAAGCACTATTTAAAATCAGTCATGCCTATAGTAATATATAATTTTTAGTAATATATAATTTGTGTTTGTGTCTTTTATATAGTTGAAGATGCCTTAGTTACTGTTTTAGCTCACTTGTATTCTATATATTTATATGTATGTTTGTGTTCTGTCTAAACCTCTGGCACGGGGTTGATTCACCTGTAAGTTGCTATCTGTATATTTGTGTTCTATCTGAATCTTTAGCAATGTGTTTACTCACCCTAAAGTAACTTTATGTGCATTTGTGTTCTGTTTGAACCCCTGACACAGTGTTCATTCACCTTCAGGTTACTTTATGTTTATTTATGTATGTCTGTGTTTTGTCTGTTTATATTTATATGTATGTTTGTGTTCTGTCTGAACCTCTGATGGAGTTTACTCACCCATAAGTTACTTTATGCACATTTGTGTTCTGTTTTAAAGTTTATATGTTCTGTTTAAATGTTTAAATCTGTTTTGATTTAATGTGAGCTCACCAACTAACTAGTTTCTATAACTATAAACTTAGACCCACCTTAATCTCTAGTATTTTGTTAGATGTAATATTTTTCATAATGGATTTCCAAAACATCATGACTAATGCTTTGAGGTACTTTTTGCAGGAAGTAGCTACATTTAACTATTCCAGGTCAGGTCATATTGAGAATCATCACAACCTCTCTGCTATTGGTATTATGTAACCCAATACTACCTACCCCCATGTCCTGCTGCCTTGTAGGGTGTACTTTTATTGGCAAAGGCTAAGAGAAACAAACTCCAACGTAAAAATTCCCTGCCTCGGGGATCTTGGTTGAGTTATGGCTAGAGATAGTGTCTTGATAAAAATACTTATCTAGATCAGATGTTATCTGCATCCAGCTACTATTTTGTAGCATGCCTCCAGGCAAAGACTTTATGGATAAGCAAAAAATATAGCATAGATGTGAACCTGTGTTATATTATTTCCTACCTAGGATGATGGATGCTGGATCTTCTCATAGGATTTTGCTTGTGTCTCCTTGATAGTGGCTATGCAACACTTCTTGTTATCTCCTAATGAGGGTACAGCTCTAAAACTTAGTTTAATGGCTCTGAGGCCGGCTAGAAGTATGGTATGTGAAATCAGGTTCGAATCCTTTGACCATTCTTTTATGTGCTTCTGTTTAGCACCACTTCACGTTTTTCTCTTTGTTCTCTATCATTCTCCTTCTTAAGACTGCACTTTTCAAGATGTACTTTCTGATCAAATTGACCGCTCTCTCTTTACCCTATAGCCAATACTGCTGTTATTGGTGACTTTAATGCTCATCACACTAAATGGCTTGGGTTTAATGCCACTGACCCTACTGGTACTAAAACCTATACTCAGATAGTTATATATCAGGGTTGGCAAAAATCCGGGTTTTTGAGCAAAAACCCAACCCAACTGAGTTTTTGGGTGGGTTATTGGGTTTTTAACAAAGTTTAATTAATTTATAGTTATTTAAAAGCTATTTTCAATTTTTCTCAGGTATATTGTCTTATAAATACAATAGCTTAATTAATAATCAAATTGCATTTCTTTCTAATATAAAGCATTTTTTAAATTGAGTTATCTTTTTAGTTAAACTTAAAATATAAGTAGATTATACCTCTTCAACATGCCAAAGTATCATTCAGGGGGATGAAATAGTATCATTCAGGGGGATGAAATAGTATCATTCAGGGGGATGAAATAGTATCATTCAGGAGGATGAAATAGAATCATTCAGGGGGATGAAAAAGTATCATTTAGGGGGATGAATTAATATCATTCAGGGGGATGAAATAGTATCATTCAGGGGGATGAAATAATGCTAGTGGTTGGAATGAAGTGACCATATTAAGTTATCAACCAAATAGAGTAATATGTAATTATTGTAAAGGGAGCATAATTAAAAAAATAGAGAGAGTTGAGATGCATTTAGATAAATACAGAAGAAAGAAAAAAGAAAGCGCTAATGATTCCGCAGACATATTTAGCAATATATTAGTTTTAGAGTCAACGCTACGAATGCTACATCTGCAGCATAAAATAAGTCTAACTAGTCAGAAGATAATGATTAAGATTGTTTAAGCTTTATTAGTGATTCTTGTTATTCGTCAATTGTTTATTCAACTGCAATGACAATGCAAAGGCAAACATCTATTTTTAAATTTGTTACTACAACAAGTAATCAGAAGAATGAACTGGATTTGCAAGTTACAAGGTTTTTTTTTTCAAAAAATATACCATTTAACATAGTAGAAAATATTGACTTTACCAAGCTGCTTAAAAAATCTAGACCTGGATGCAAGCCCCCAAATAGAAAACAGGTATCTTCAGAATTCTCAGTAATGGTTAATGAAGTAATCAATATAATGAAAAATGATCTTGATGTTGATTGTGATGTTACCCTAATTCAAGATGATTAGAGTGCATGATATTTTAAATAGGTTTTAAAAAAGCCTTTAATGCCATTTAATGCCTGTTTAATGCCATTTTCTGACTAATTTTACAGATCTTTAATATAAAGGTAATTATAAAATTGTAAAAAAATTAGAAACTTTCATCCGATCAAATTAATATAAATATAGATAAAAAAATTTCTTTTAAGCTTACTACTCTTATAACTTTACTTATTTACTTAGAAAGAACATTGGATAGAAGTAAAGAAGAAGAAGCTGAGGAATGGTTAAATGAAGTCTATCCTGAATTTATGCATGGCTACTATGCATTGAAACTAAAAAATTTGTTTCCCAACATTTATTTATTCAATGATAGTGTAAAAAGCACAGAATCAGGAACAAATTAGTGGAGAATTATATATTATGAAGTAAAATTTTCAAAATTGCCTGCAAGTTTTGCAAGATTATAACAACAGTTGCATAATTGTCCAACTAGTCCATTAGAAGACCTCATCCTTTGGCATTATTTGGAGCAAAATTAGGAATCTTTTTAGGAAAAACAAAAATGCTTGCAAGAATTTGCATACATCAAGGTCAAGATGCACAACTGCTGATGACAAAATTGTTAGACAACTTTGTTTTAAACCTTCAAGTTTGAATATTACTGCTCCAAACAAATTAAATTTTAATTTATGATTCACTAAACTTTATATTTAAGAACAATTGTTGAGCAGCATCAAATCTTGAGTGTAAATGAAAATTAATTTATGTATAAAACTAGAAACAAAAAACTTAAGACCAAAAACCCATTAAGTTGGGTTTTTGCTCTTGGGTTTTTGGGTGCCAACACTGTTATATATGCTCATCACACTGAATGGCTTGGCTCTAATGCCACCAATACTGCTGGCACTAACACCTATAGCTTCTGCATTTCTCAATCTCTTCTTTAGATAGTTAACTTTGTGACTCATTTTCCTGACAAACCTAATCATTTACCTTCATTCCTTAATTTATGTCTTGTCTCTGATCCTAGCTTGTACTCAGTTTTTCCCTTTTCTCGCTTGGATGGTTCTGACCATGCAATGATCTCTTTAAATCTTTCATCTTGTACTTCTTTTTTGGACCCTATCATTGCACTTCTTACTACTACCCTAAAGCTGATTAAGATTCTTTTCGTGATTTTCTTTGTGACGGTCCTTTGGCTAATGTCTTTTCTCTCTCAGCTGAAAATTTTACCTCCTATGTAACCTCCTGGAATTTACACACACACATTTGTTAGTTAATAATTTTTTATTGCTTATTATTTTATTAAAATATCCATTAAATAATTAGCTAATAACAAAATTGCTATTAAATCTTGCCTAGAAATTAAATTTTCAAAAGAGAAGCTCTTGATTTAGAAGTAACTAGACAAAAACTTAAAGTTCTCTCAGCGCTAGTTTTTAAATAAATACATCACCTGTGTGCTTTTAATCTGATATCACAAAAACCATATAATTTAAACTTAGTATGTTGTATAGAGACCTACTCTACTATCTAGGCAAATAAGAGGTACTGAACCAAAATCATTAACCATCAAGTTTCATTCAATCAAGATATCAGCGAAATCCATTATAATTTTAACTTAAAACAATTAGATTCATTAATCCCAAAGGTTCATATAAACCGTTCCGAGTAAAAACAAACCAATAATAAATTAGTAGAAAATAACTTATCAAACTTTTTTTATTTCATCATCAGAAATGAACCGCATTTCTGATGAGTCTTTATAGATACACAGTGTAAAATGAAAGAGGTTTGATAAGTCATTTTTTACTATTTTCTCTCTCTCTTTATTTTATATATAGATACATATATATATACATATACATAGATACATATATATATATATATATACATATACATATATATAGATACATATATATGTATATATATATATATATATATATATATATATATATATATATATATATATATATATATATATATTTATGTTTATATATATATATATATATATATATATATATATATATATATATATATATATATATATATATATATATATATATATATATATATATATATATATATATATATATATATATATATATATATACACACACTATACTATACTATAACTAATAAATGCATTATACAAAATAAAAGAAAATATTTTTAAAAGCTACAAACTTGTCTCCTTCATCCAATTCCAATAGGATATAAAAGAAAGTAAACAAAATTGTGCCAATTTCACAAAACATGCAAAAAATGCGCATTCTCTGAGTTGAAGGTTGTAAAAAAAGAGCAAAAGAGAACAATAGAAGAAAAATTAGGTACAGACCAGCGTTAATCCTAGAAATAAAAATAATATTAATATAATACAATTTTAGAGAAAGTTTAAAATAAAATAATCAGGAATGAACAGTAAGTAATTTGTAAAAATATAAATAGTTAAAAAAGTACATAATACTTTAGTAATTAAAAAAATATGAGAAATACATAGAATTTCAAAAGACTTTAACTTATCACTAAGTTCTTATATCTGTTTAATTTGTCTTATAAAAAATATTGAGAGTATATGTTATCTTAATTTATTATCATAACCCTGATGTCCTGCAACCTAATATGAAAATTTGAAAAAACATTTATAGAACTAGATTTATAGAATAAAGATTTATAAAATTCTTTAATTCAATAATCTCTGCATAAAATGATGTTTATAAAATACTTATAAACATCATTTTATGCAGAGATTATTTAATTAAATTTTTCATTCTATTGAATAAAACCAAATATACTCTTTTAGACTTTATAGAAAGAAAATCTTGAAAAAATTGAAAAATTAGATCATTAAATGCAGTTTGAAATAAGATTACTTAAGATTTTGTATAAAACTTAATTTAAATTCAAATCAATCAGAGAAACTTCATTGATCTTTGAAGATCAATAATTATCACTTTTTTAAATAATTTAGATAAACTACCTCATTATGTTCTGACCGTAATCATTCCATTTCCTTTTTACTAATAATCTAACAACTGGATGTTGAATTGCCTCCTATGCAAATAAAGTTTAAAAAATCATCACACATCATTAATCATGTATAATGAAATGCAAATTGCAACTATGTTGGTATTTCTTAAATAAAAAAACAGTAATTAAATTGGATAGAAAATTTGAACAAAGCTTTATAAATAGTAGAGGTTAATAAAACAGTGGGGAAAGAAAAAACTAAGAGAGGGCCAAATCTAATTATATTACAACAGACATTAAAACCACAAAGAAAAAAAAAACTAAAAACTTTAATAACTTCATAACAAAAAATAGTTTCTAACAAATTATGTTATAAAGGTTTAAAAAAAAATAGCTTAATTTGTAAAGTTAAAATAAAATTATTACAAATTATTATTTTGCAAAAAGTTATACTTAGTTATGGTAGTAAAACAGCAATAAAAAACAATTTACTCTGCAACTTGATGAATGAGCTATGAGGTGTAAGCATGATTTACTTCGGTAATTAAATCTTTTATTATTATTCTCTGGGGCATTTCCTTTGTCATCTCCATCCAACAATTGGAAGAAAAAATGATGAGACAACGGAGCTTTTGGCATGTCATACCATTCAATTTCTTTCTCAGCTTGATTAATAGGCTGAAATGGCCAGTAAGGATTCATAAGTTTCTCAAGAATAGCCAAAACTGTTAGCTATAAAAAATTAATAAAATAACTAATAAAATTAAAAACTTAAAAATTCTTTAATCGATTGCAAGAGTGATCATGAAAAAAAAAATTAGCTGTGCTTTGCTCTGGTCTGCAAGCGATTATGCTGGGGAAGTAATTTTGATACAAGTTTTTAATGTTCTACAATCTATGAAAGCTTAATAAAAAGCACAGTGTCATCTGTCGCACTTATGTTTTTAAATGATTCCCCTCTATTATAAACTATAAAATAACAAAAAAATGAACATCTAAATATTGAAACAAAAACAAATTAGTTTTAGATAGCCACACGAGTTTTCATTTTAAAAAAACAAATTAATTTTAGATATTAAAATATATAATTCACTTACATTTAAAAGTAATAATTTTTTTCTATTACATAAATTATATTACAAGTAAAACTTAATTACATAAATTTAATTACTTAAATTTGTAACTGTTACTTGACAAAATAATTTATTTTTATGAGTAAAATAAATTGAAAAAGTAATTTACTTTTTCAGGTAAGTCCTTAAAAAGTAATTTATTTTGAAAAGTAATTTCGATTTTACTTATTTGCAAAACTTACATTGAAAAGTAATTTACTTTTTATATGTAAAAAAGTTCTTTTCTGAGATAAAGTTATGTAAATGCAATGTTTGAAAAATGGAACACTTACTTTAAAGAGTAAATAAAAGTACATCATAAAAATAAGTTCCTTACATGTGTAAAAGTAACTAACTAGCAAAGGCAACATACATAAAAGTAATTTGAAAAAAAAAAAGATTTACTATTAGAAATAAAAGTAAGATTTTCTTTCAAATACTTATTTTACTTAGTTAGTAAGCAAAATGTAAATTATATTATTTACTTGTTCAAAAAACAAAGGCATTTTACTAACAGTTTATTAAGGTAGGTAGTTTATTAAAAAGCATTAGTTGATGGGTACATCTGGGTTACACTACTCTGAATTATTCAGATATATGTGGGCCGTTTTTGCGGCGGGGCATTACAAATTATACAAGTAGGGGCTAATATAAACTAATAGATAAACTAAATGCTATAAAACGATATCCATTAAGGGCAAAGAAAGCTGGTTAACCATAAACTAAAAGATCTGTGCACCACAAATTATGGAGCACACAGCTTTTATTATTACTTGGGGACCTAAGTTACTGAAAAGAAGGTTATGAGCAACAGCCTTCTTTTTAGTTGCTTTGGTGGCCAAGCCGCCCAAGTAATATTCTAAAATATTCAAATAAATTAGTGCCTTTAAAATAATTTTATGATGACAATAGACAATTTAAAATAGTCTTTTAAAACAAATGAAAAATTAGGTTTTCACCCTTTTGAAACTAATTTAAACCTAAAAAAAAAAAAAAAAAACGCAACAGCTTCTTATAGGCTACTAAATGAACTAACCTATAGTTTATTTTACCGTATCTTTTTAAATACTTTTTTAATAATGTCTTTTTGCGTTTCTGTTGTGTTTTTATAACAACTTTAGAATCACTAGGTTTATTTTAATGTTTTTGATATATATTGCAATGTTTCATTTTTATAAGTATTTTTTTAATTACTAGTCATATTATTTTTTAGAGCCTTCAAACATTCGATACCACTACAATTGATGTGTCTCTCGTGAAGCAAATTTAATAATAATCTAATTAGCGGAAAAATCTAGCAACTGTAATGGAAGCATCCTATAAAATTAATCAACAATGGCTTCTGATATTATACCATACATGACACGACACATGTCAGATTAAATTTCTTCAAACATACATATTTATTATATTTTGGCATACTGTAGTAAGCCAAAAATATAAGCTCAAAGAATAGTTTTAATAACTAAAACCATAACCGGATTAATATTATTTGTTGCCCATGGTTATTTTTAAAGTAGCTTCCTTTTGTTGAGTGCTACAACATATAAAGTGATTTGGGAATTAAAAAAAATGGTCCTTTGGAATCTTTTATGGCCGCCGCCTAAACCTACCCACCACTACATAGTCTAGTACTGCCCAATATAGTCATGGACGGGGAGTAAGAATGGTTTTAATTGGCAGCATTTTGATGCCTATAAACCAAATACTGATACATCAAAATTTAGAAGGGAAAAAAAAAAGCCAAAACCACTCACAAAAAATGTTGCCAAAAACTAAACGCTAGTTACTTTGATGCAAGTTGTACTTTTTGCATTTCACTCGGTTGCACTATACCCTCTCTAATTTATTTTAGAATATAAGTAAATTTACTTATAAAATATAAACTATTTTTAGTTTACTTTAAAAATTATATAAAATATAAGCTTATGTAATAGAATTTTTTCTTTATATAATTTATTTTTTACAACAATTTTTTTTACTTAAATAATGAAAAATGACAATTTATATAATAGCTAAACATATATTATTATTGCTAAGCACAATAGCTAAACATATATTATATATATGTTTAGCTATTGTGTTCAAGAATAACATGTGACTTATAATTTCGATTATTATTGTTATTACAATTACTATTATAATTGTTATTGTTTTTTTTACTATTATTATTATTGTGGTTCATGTGTTTATTACTTTTTATATTCATATGTATATTTTTTTTATTATCTTATAATTATTACTAATTATATATATAAAGATCTGTATTTTTGGTGTTTACTTAAGATTAGTAGAATTACTATTTGTAAATATCCATGAAATTAATTTTCAGAATATATATGATTGTTGATTGTTATAATATTATTTTATAAGTAAATTTTATTTATATTTGTTGCCTATTACTTTTATGTAATTCTTTTTCATATAAAAGTTTTTTTGACAATTAAGGTAATATAATATATTTTTTAATAAATTATTTTCATATGTAAATGTAAATTACATTTTGAGGAACTATTAAATTATGTAATGTAATTTGAAAAAGTATTTAATATTTATATATAATAGTAAATTGCTTTTTTATGAGACTTACTTTTACTTGTAAAAGTAAATTACCTTTTGATGTAATCTGTTTTTAAATAAGTTACTTATGAAAGAAAAAAACTTAGTTTATAAAGTAAAAGTCGTTGCATGCTTTTTTTTTTATTTTTTTTTGATAAAAATATTTTTTAAAAAGAGGAGATTTAATGTAACTATTATTTGAGCTCTCTTATTTTTATAGTTTTTTAGGAGAAACTTATTTTCACATTTAGAAATCAATTCCGATTTTTTGTTTAACAAACATTCTTGGTTTGCATGTGTATTTATTTGAAATTTTTCTTGAAGACTGTCTTTTGAACATTTTTATTTTTAAAAGATTGCTTATGATGCTTTGTTAAATAAAAAAGAAATCCTAAATGAAAAAACTACAGAAAATTGTAATTGTAAACAAAAAAACAATTGTCCAATGGGTGGAAGTTGTTTATCAAAAAATGTGGTATATAAATGTGTTGTCTCCTCTAAGAATGTAACCGATAAACAATATATTGGCATAACAGAGGGTGAATGGAAAAAACGTTTTGCCAATCATAAGCAATCTTTTAAAAATAAAAAATATTCAAGACACCATGCTGTCAAAATATATATGGGAACTTAAAGATAAAAATATTGATGATTTTATACTGAATTGGTCCATCCTTAAAACAGCGCCTGCATACAACAATATATCCAAAAAATGCATACTATGTTAGTTAGTTAGTTAATTTACAGTTACACAAAGCCACAGCCTTGTTAAACTCATCATCAGCTGACTATACGCATCTATACCCAACTCGTATTCTGGCCACTTTTGTGTGGCATTTACAATAAGCGATGAGTTGTAGCAAATATGATGACTGAAAACTGCCTAGTAGTTGTTTAAATTTATCAAGTGATGTTGCCTCGATGACATTATCTGGCAAAGCATTTCAGTCATTGACTACACGGTTGTTAAAAAACTTATATCTGATTTCGCAGTTCCTGATAATCTCGCGATGAAATCTGATTCAATGTTGAGCTCTAGGTGCTATGCTGCCAGGCATTACATGCCAATTAATTAGGTTTAAATTGTTGAGAAGTTTATATTTTTGAATAAGATCGCCTCTTTTCCGTCTGTCTTCAAGAGTAGTTAATTTCATGATTTTACATCTAGTTTTGTAGTCTTTATTTTTCAAAGCATGAGGAACTTTCGTTGCGTTGCATTGTACCTTTTCTATTTTTTTTATGTCACTATTAAGGTAAGGGTTCCAGGCTTGTATGGCAAACTCCAGATGTGGTCCAATATATGCAGTATAAATTTTTTTCCAAATGTCAATGTCTTTTGATACAAACGTGTGTTTAAGAATTCCAAGCATATTATTTGCTTTGTTTGCAGCTATATTGCACTGTTGAGCATATTTAAGATTTTCGGAGATTAGAATTCCAAGATCTTTTTCAGAATTGATGTCTACGAGAAAAATTTCAAATAATTACACATGCAAACCAAGAATGTTTGTTAAACAAAAAATCGGAATTGATTTCTAAATGCAGGCACGAAAATAAGTTTCTCCTAAAAAACTATAAAAATAAGTGAGCTCAAATAATAGTTACATTAAATCTCCCCTTTTTTTAGAAATATTTTTATAAAAATAAAGAAAAAAAAAAAAAAAAAAAAGCCAAAGTAATCATTTCTAAAGAATTCTTTTTATAATGGTGTCAGCAAATTCCACAAATGTGTGAAAATTTACAGTAGTTAAAACATTTGCGACTTCCTGTAATTAAATTTTTTTTGGTATAAATTGAAGTTTTATTAATTTGATCATTCATTTCTGATGAGTCTTTGTTGATGAAACACAGTGTAAAATGAAAAAAAAAAATTTGTTAAGTGATTTTCTACTATATATATATATATATATATATATATATATATATATATATATATATATATATATATATATATATATATATATATATATATATATATATATATATATATATATATATATATATGTATGTATGTATATATAAAGGTTGGGTTAAGTAAAACTGACACTTTTTATATCTTGA